TGAACGGCCTCTACTGCCAATGCAATTCCGAGCCGCACCAATGAATACATCAAGTGAAATTTCGATGCCTTTTAAGGGGCAGCTCAAAAAGGCCGTACACAGGAGAAACAGAGCGGATACCTCACGATGCGCGAAGCACGTGAATTATGATTGGTTCTACGTTACGGCCTCACCTATTCTCATCCTCCTCCGCGCGTACCTCGAGTTTATAAATCAAAATCCGTGTTTGGCGTCACCAAGCCTTCGAGTAACGTGACCGGGCCGCCGTTTTCGACGACTTTACGGTTTTCGAGACCGTAAAATTCAATCAAATCACCGGCCTCGCGGAGCACCCATGCCGGATTCCTTACTGAAAATATCCCTCGACCCGGCGTCGCACAGTTGATCGAGTTCATGTGAGAATTCGGACATAAATTTGAAACTTTAAAAGCATATGTCTTCAGTAATACCATACTAAAAGGTTAAAAAATGGTTTCATTGGTTTTATCGTAAAATTAATTTTATGCAACACTCGTTTAAAATTCACAATATGACGAAATAGACACCAAAGTTTGCAATTTCAGTCAAAACTTTTACGTCCGACCTCTCTCGAAAGCTGTTCTATTGTGCGTCGTCGAGCAATAATGGTGCTATCTGACGCAGATATGGTCGAGGGTTATATATATGGGTCGCATGTTTCAGCGAAGAAGATATACGGATACGTCCCTCTATGCTGCTCTCAGATGCTTTTATTAATAAATATTCGCTAAGTTTACCCGCGCAATACGGATAACGTTGCTCGGGCTCACAACGCTGGATTTAAGCTCTCTATTAAAACCCGGGGAACATTGTATCGGGTCGTTAAAAATATTGGCTTTTGGTCGTTATGGGTTCGCTTGAGCATCGATGTTTCGTTGAGTAATGGAACGCGGACTTTCGGCCGTTTATAATCGTGTTGCGCCTTTATGTCAGATCTAGAGAGAAACGGCCTGTACGGTGATTCATAAGAGCCGAAAACAGAGCCGTACGACGTGCGTGAGGATCTCCTTTAAACATTCAGAAATTGTTCCAGTCGTTCTACAGCATGCACTGAGGAACGCAGAAACGAAATATTTCAGACACTCCGGACTAGGAATCCAAAGATTTAGAATCCCGAGATCTAGACGCCGTTGGCTGCATCTACTACGGTCAGGTGACTCTTAACTGTGAGGATCAAACGTCAATGATAATGTCGAATTCAGTGGTTTGTATGGAGAGTCGAGGCTGTTGATAAACTTTTTTTTTTGTTATATTTTTGCTTCTCAACGCATTGCTCGACAAATTTTTACGACAGTGCGAATTTAATATTGATGATCGCTACAAATAACGTTCGTTGCGTGAGTAGCCTGTCGAGCACCGTTTTTTTTTCTCTCTGTAAAGTACCATTTTTTCTACCGCAATTGGGATGTTTTTGTGTAAGACGACAAAATTATACATATTTACACGAAAGCATTTTTATATTTTCCAACGTACTGACGTACTTAAGTCATACCTAAGACGTACCTAAGACATACCTTTTTATAAGGTTTGTAAAAATATTCAGGGGAAAAAATTGTAATACTGTTGCATTAGAAGTGTGTCATCGAAAACATTCCGACTATCTTGATGGATCTTAAATACGTCGAGAAATATCGCTGGTCCACAGGAAACGATGGCGAAATGGATACGTTCCCGTGACGTTGGTACGAAATAGTCAATTTCCAGTGCATGGAGGGTTGTATCAGCTTGCAAAAGCCGTTAGCGGGGATTTCTTGGCAAGGCACAAAGACCCAGGAACGGGGCTAAAGAAGTGTTTAAATTAGAAAGAACAAGTGATGCACAAACAATGTTGCAGAAATTCATGTGGGCAAGTACCCGCGGTCATCGGCCAATTCCTTTCTCCGGCCCGAGATCGGTCGATCGCCCGGCGATAAGCTCTATTGTTCCGAGTTAGTGCCGTTTAAAATCGCACACCTAACCGTAGGCGAAGCCCATCCGCGGCCGAACGGTTATTGAGTGTCAGTTTCCACGGGCCGATCCCTCCTTGAAATACGAGCGGTTCCCTGCGTACGCAACTAAGTACAGTCGTACGTCCGTTCAAGCGTGGCCAAATTGCCTCTGATGAAGTGCGAATTTTCTGGAAAACTTGTGAATGTTTTTCGCTTAATTTTCCACAGATTTTAAATCGCACGAAAATCCATTGCCTCTGCAAATTTCAAGGGAGATTGTGCATAATTTTTATCAAAATTAATTATTTCGCCCGGGAAAATTTGACAGCATTTGACTGTCCATATGTCGTTATTCTTTAAGTGGTTCGTGTTCAGCACTACCACTGTAAACAGTTCAAAGTCTCGATATACTTGTACCACTCGCTGTTCGGCTAATAGCGCCCTACTGAGCGTCATATCTGTAACCCTATACGCTCATATTTGTAAACTTGCTCACACGGCTGTTACAGTGTTACAATAGTCATATATGCAAATCTGCGCCCACAGGTGATAATTTCGATTGTTTCTCTTTCTATAATGTTCAGAGGAAATTTCTCCCTCTCGTTGATTGTTGCTCCCTCTCTCTCTCCCCCCCATCTCTCCTTCTCTTTCTATACACAATTTCTTTTTCTGACGAGTCCTTATACTCTCGTCTGTCGCTCTCAAATTTCACCATTTGCCTCCATTTGGCTCTGTTCTATCTTGTTCTAATTTTCTAAAGGGTTGATTTCAGAGTTTTACACCGGATGAAAAGATATCAAAATTGCCGTCAGATACGAACGTTTGAGCGCTCATGTCACTTTTATTATACCCCCTCGAAATTAGCATAGACGAGCAGGGCCGAATTTAGGGGGTGGCCACATGGGCTGCGGCCCATGGCGGCAAATTTAGGGGGCGGCAAATTTTGCAATTTTTTTAAATGTAGCTATAAAGAAAACTCGGAATCAGAAAAAAATTACAAACGAGGAAAATTGACAAAATCTCTCATTTCCTGAGAGTATATTTCTAATTTTGTCGTCTTTCTGTGATACAATAGACAGCACCTTTCATGAGTCCATCTAAGACTAAGAGAGAAACCGAACACGGGATTTGACCTGAAACGGCGCGGCGCAGAGAGCAATGATGACGAAGACTTTAGATGAAAAAGAGTAGCCCTTGGTGTGGCGGTCGGCATGTAACACATATTAGCGCCTACAAGACTGCATGAATACTTCACGCATTGCGTCAAAGACAGTGCGATCGCTGCGGTCAGCAGCAGACGGCCTGAAACACATAGCGCCTACAAGACTGCATGAATACTTCATGCATTGCGTCAAGCACAGTGCGTGCAGCAGCGGTCGGCGTGAAACGCATAGCGCATACAAGACTGTAGGAATACTTCACGCATTGCGCCTAACACAGTGCGGTCAGCGCAGCGCGACGGCGGAAGTTAAAATCATTAAACCACATTTATATTTGTTCTGTCATAATTTTGTCGTTCATTTCATATAGATGAAAGGCCTTGTCCACATAGAGATAGGTTTACGGAACTTAACTTTCTCGCCAAGTTCCGTGAACTTTTGCTAGTATAGTGTTGACACGGCTCTCGCAAAATATGTGTCCAAAACGAGAAACCGCGTCTTATGAACCGCTCCCCCTCCGGCACGCTCACTTGATTGTTTTTATTGATGTTTCAAAACGTATGAGAAGGGGGCGGCGAAATACAGGCGGACCATGGGCGGCAAATAAGTAAATCCGGCCCTGTAGACGAGAAAAAAAAAGTTACAGCGATTCCCCGACTGTTAGATCTCGTATCCAGGAAATCGAGTTGCTATGCCTACCCTGCCAGCAGAGTTTTTTTTTATCAAACGTTGTCCAATCTTACTGGCAAAAATTGAAACCTCCAACCACTATCATTTGCGTTGACGAAGTTCCAAAACCCGCGAGCAAAGCGAAAAGGGTTGATTCGGGTCGTCTGCGTTGAAAGCGCTATGAATTTGAAAGGCCAATTAGGATCTATTATGACGCAGGAGGCTCCGACTTCGTCACATAAGTCACGAGCGGCGTGGGTCGTCTCCTTGGGGTGAAAGTTTGCTTAAAGGGGTTGGGGCGCTTGAACTTCTGCCAAAACATTCGCTTTTGATTGCTCAAGAGTCAATTTCCAAAACCTATCACGATCCCTTGACCGCGCCGCGCCGGCCGTGTCAATCTGCTTTTCGGCGGGGAAAAAACGATATGAATATTCGAACGTTGTCAAATTTCTTGAGGATCCATTTCCAAAGTTTTACTGCTAAATTTTACTTACAGTGCGGAAAAATAGTCCTTTTTAAAATGCCATGCTAAAGGCCTCCTTGAAACTTCCCTTATCACAATGTAAACCGTTTGGGGGGTCCCCTTAGATTTAACAGGGTGTCTATAAGCCCGAAATTTCCGGAAATAGTACTGACTTTTTATGGGCGGACCTTAAGTACTGAAAAATTCCGCAAATTCCGCAAGAAGGTCCAGAATTTGTTTCATATTTTGTTATTTTTGTCGCAATTTGAGCGAGAAATTCAAATTTTTGAAATTTTTCGCATTTCGTCAATTGGAGGTACTGAAAAAGTACTGAACTTTCCCGCTAAGAAGGTACTGAATATCTCGAGAATAGACTGAAGTACTGTAAAAGCATTCCCATCTATTGCCAGTCTATTCCTAGAGAAATTCAGTACCTCCTCAGCGGGAAAATTCAGAACTTTTTCAGTACCTCCAATTGACGAAATGCGAAAAATTTCAAAAATTTGAATTTCTCGCTCAAATTGCGACAAAAATAACAAAATATGAAACAAATTCTGGACCTTTTTGCGGAATTTCCGGAATTTTTCAGTACTTAAGGTCCGCCCTTAAAAAATTAGTACAAATTTCCGGCCAGCCTATTTAAGTGGACACCTTGTTTAAGGAGGACCGTGAATACGACGCTAGGACTTACTGCACTTTGTTAGATTCGTTTTTTTTGTGTTTATAAATGTGCTGACAAGAGATTTTCTTTGTTTGTTTCAGCTGTGCAAAGGGGGCGAGTGCCTCCGAGCCAGCCCTCGGGGCTCCCGGCGCAGTTCGCGCTGACCAACGGGGACGCGCACGCGGCTGCAGTGGCGGCTGCCGGCCTCAACGGCCACCCTTACCTCTCTAGTTATATTTCAATGCTGCTCAGGGCCGAACCTTACCCGACGTCCCGCTATGGGCAGTGCATGCAGCCCAGCAATATAATGGGAATAGACAATATATGTGAATTAGCTGCCAGGCTCCTCTTCTCCGCCGTCGAGTGGGCCAGGAATATACCTTTTTTCCCTGATCTCGAAGTAAGTATCCCTTTCCTCCAGGCAGGAATTTTCTCGAATCAAAGGAAGTTTAACACTGGAAAAAAAATCTCGGTGTATTTACTAAGAAAAGGGTAAAATTACTAAGAATTCAGTGTTCTATTTGATCCCAGTTTTTTCTTGGTAAAATTACCATTTATGGAATTGGTAATTTTACAGAGAAATCTCGGTAAAATTGTTGAACTTTCTCGGTAATTTTACTGGACCCCGGTAAAAGCGCCAATATTTTTTATCGACTGTGGTAGAATTACCGAGATAAATTGGCAAAGTTACCGGGAATTGATTACCAAAAAAAGTGGTATTCTTACCCGAAAAAACAGTAAAAATACCGGATTTTAGGTAAGCTTACCAGTCTGTTTTGGTAAAATTACCAATAATTGGTAAAAAAAAGTGAGATGGTAACGATACCAACGGACCTTGGTAAAAACGCCGAGAATTTTTTTTTCAGTGAGGAAAGCCTCTGACACAACATTAGAGCAGAAAAATATTCAGAGCGTCGAGTAAAATGACTTATAATGATAATGTAAATGGATGGATTTTCCAAGGTAATGAATTATAACGAAAAAGGTCGCCCAATAGGGTTGTTTTTGTAAATATTATATCCACGGGGGTGATTTTGGCCGCCAGCTTGGATAGGGGGTGACTTTTTGAAAATTGAGAATGCCAACATCGGAATTCTGTTTCTAGACATCAAGACGAAGAGATTAAGACATCTCCCACACTTCTATCACTAATGGTGCCACGGGATGACATTTGCGCCTGCACTAGTAACAAAATGTCGAAAGGAAAATTTTGCAATTTGAACAAAATAGTAGTTACCGTCCTGAAAATTGGACCAGAATACATGATACTTTCCTAAATGTTAGAATCTAATTAATTCTTTGGGGGTATCTATTTACCCTGAGTCTGCTCTGAAAATCCCTCAAAGTTACAAAAATTTTCATTTTATTATGTTTTTTGTATGATCTCCTTAATTATTCATTAAATTATGAGTAAAAGATTCTCACAGTCAGGGACTGTCTCCTCCAAAAGGAAAAGAAGAAACAAAAAACCGCATAAGAAATAATGATGAATACTTTGCGGTAGCTCCGTGTGTAATTCTTTGTAGGAAAATAAAGAAAATTAGATTCTTTAAATTTAATTAAGTTACAGAAATTTTAAACAATTCAAGCCTGTCAAAGAATCTTGTGAGACAATATGTTGTTCAATACTGTTTCAAAGGAGCTATAAACCTTATCCTACTTCGTCAGTATTGTAAGAGCGTCCGGTGGTTTTCCACACTCATCTGGACTGCAAACTCTTGTGATGGTAATTACTGGTCATTTTTTTTTCAGATGACAGACCAAGTAGCTCTTCTGCGACTCGTCTGGAGCGAATTGTTCGTGTTAAATGCTTCTCAGTGTTCAATGCCTTTGCACGTTGCGCCTTTGCTGGCAGCAGCGGGCCTTCACGCCTCCCCGATGGCCGCCGACCGAGTTGTGGCCTTCATGGACCATATCCGCATATTCCAAGAACAAGTGGAAAAGCTCAAAGCGCTTCATGTAGATTCTGCCGAATATAGTTGTCTCAAAGCAATAGTTCTATTCACTACCGGTGAGTTCAATACCCTTATTGCTCTCTTTACACTTACCTTCAAAATCCTCCTTAACTATTCGCCTCTCTTCAACCACACGTGGCAAACCATTGTACAGCGCATTCTGCTGTGCTAAGCGAAAACGTCTAATGAGCACATTGCCAAATTCTCAGTGATGAAACAAGAATTTCCGAGGTAACTGATGAATTTCCTTCTTCAAAATTTGCTGAGACTTTTATTCGATATTTCATCTTAAATAACTGAAAATTTTCAATAATGAAATTTATAATTTTCTACAAAAATAAATATTTTATCGGCGGAATAAAGCCATGTCTAAATGTTCATTCGGCGATTTACCTTAGCACGGCACATTATAGCAAGAATAGATCCGTAGTAAAAATTGAAGTCGACTACGAGTTGATGATTTCTGCCGTACTAAGGGAGAGCGCCGTCTGAACCCTCGGGCGTTGCCAAATTTCCTTTGATAAAACACGAATTTCCTGGTAAACTTCTGAATATTTTCCCGCCAGTCTCTCAAATAATTTTTTTCGCAATTTCACCTGAAATTCCTGAACATTTCAGGGGAAAATACACATATCTTTACTCAAAAATAAACATTTCATCGAAGAAAATTTGGCAACTCTCGAATCTTCATACGGCGTTCCTCCTTAGCTTGGCCGATTTGTACCCAGCCACTTCATCCATCCCTCTCAAAAATTTAGTTCCGAAGTTAATCGATTGAATTTCAATCGAGATTCGTCATGTCAGGTTATGTCGTGTTATTCGAGATGTCATTTTCATATTATATTAAAATGTTAAGGATCTCCTAAACCTCCATTTATGACAATTTAAATCATACGGACCTTTCGAAGAAAAAGCTGTTTAAAGAACGATCGGGAATACGGTCTTTAAGACGCGAGAGATCTAAGACGACAAAAGAAAAACCAGTGGTAAGCACGAGTCACACTGAAAAAAAAATCTCGGTGTATTTACTAAGGAAAGGGTAAAATTACCGAGAATTCAGTGTTCTATTTGATCGCAGTTTTTTCTTGGTAAAATTACCATTTATGGAATTGGTAATTTTACCGAGAAATCTCGGTAAAATTATTGAACTTTCTCGGTAATTTTACTGGACCTTGGTAGAAACGCCAATATTTTTTATCGACTGTGGTAGAATTACCGAGATAGATTGGCAAAGTTACCGGGAATTGATTACCAATAAAAGTGGTATTCTTACCTGAAAAAAACAGTAAAAATACCGGTTTTTTGGTAAGCTTACCAGTCTGTCTTGGTAAAATTACCAATAATTGGTAAAAAAGTGAGATGGTAAAGGTACCAACGGACCTTGGTAAAAACGCCGAGAATTTTTTTNACCTTCAAAATCCTCCTTAACTATTCGCCTCTCTTCAACCACACGTGGCAAACCATTGTACAGCGCATTCTGCTGTGCTAAGCGAAAACGTCGTATGAGCAGACATTGCCAAATTCTCAGTGATGAAACAAGAATTTCCGAGGTAACTGATGAATTTCCTTCTTCAAAATTTGCTGAGACTTTTATTCGAGATTTCATCTTAAATAACTGAAAATTTTCAAGAATGATATTTATAATTTTCTACAAAAATAAATATTTTATCGGCGGAATAAAGCAATGTCTAAATGTCCATACGGCGATTTACCTTAGCACAGCATAATATAGCAAGAATAGATCCGTAGTAAAAATTGAAGTCGACTACGAGTTGATGGTTTCTGCCGGACTAAGGGAGAGCGCCGTCTGAACCCTCGGGCGTTGCCAAATTTCCTTTGATAAAACACGAATTTCCTGGTAAACTTCTGAATATTTTCCCGCCAGTCTCTCAAATAATTTTTTTCGCAATTTCACCTGAAATTCCTGAACATCTCAGGGGAAAACATACATATCTTTACTCAAAAATAAACATTTTATCGAAGGAAATTTGGCAACTCTCGAATCTTCATACGGCGTTCCTCCTTAGCTTGGCCGATTTGTACCCAGCCACTTCATCCACCCCTCTCAAAAATTTAGTTCCAACGTTAGTCGATTGAATTTCAATCGAGATTCGTCATGTCGGGTTATGTCGTGTTATTTGAGATGTATATTATATTGAAATGGTAAGGATCTCCTAAACCTCCCTGAGCCTCCCTTTATGACAATTGAAATCATACGGACCTTTCGAAGAAAAAGCTGTTTAAAAAACGATCGGGAATACGGTCTTTAAGACGCGAGAGATCTAAGACGACAAAAGAAAAACCAGTGGTGAGCACGAGTCATTTCCCGAGGATAAAAAAAGGCGCGTGCCGTTAGAGCCCGCGCCAAAAGGGCTCCGAGTCGGGGGTGAAAGGGTGGAGGGGCAATTAACGCGACACTTGCCGGGAACGCAGGGAATAAAAACCGCGATTCCCGTGGCGGGTCCAGCTCGTACACAGCATCCGGTTCGATTCGCACTCGCTTCAAGCTCCCGCGGTTGCAACATGGTCAAGAAGATTTCGGATCTTTTGAGCTAGAGTCCCTTTATACTGAGAGTCAAGACAATTTGAATCCATTTCTGATTGGTTAACCGGATTTTAGGCCTTCACAGTGTCACAAACGGGAATAAAGATTACATTTTCACCAATTGCAAAGTTATAATCTGGAATGGACCAGGGAATTACGGGTTCGGCAAGGAACAAACGGAATGAGAGAAGGAACGGAGAAAGGAGTTTAAGAATGAGCCGATCAAAGATTACGAAAAACGTTCAATTTGTGTAATCTTTATTCCCGTTTGTGACATCCATGAGCCGAATTTTCTTGACTCTCAGTATAAAGGGACTCTATTTTGAGCCATTTCAAGGAAATGCTTGAGGAATGAAAATAATCGGTTCCGCGAAATCCTTTCTCGATTATCGTTGAAGCTTTTATGGAGAAGTTTTCAATCAACAAAAATTTCACAACATTTACGAACGAGCTAGTATATCCCTTAGAATCTTAAACCTAGGAATAGTTTAAAAAGGTCAATTTAAAAAAAAAAAATCGGAAACAGTTTTTCAAAAAAAGTTTAAAATATCTCGAGTATGCGTTTGATATTGATGAAAACCTAGAAAGTACATATGGAATTTAGGGAATGATGAAAGAGAATGAATATTTTTCCCCGTGTCAGGTCATTAGATTCAAAAAAAAGTTCTCAAAGCGTAAAATCTCGAAAGAATTATGCGTGATAATAATGTGCATGGTTTGTGGCCTCGTGAAATTAGAAATCGTAGAAACACTTGAAAATTTCTCGTATCTATCTTTTTTTCTCTTATTTTTCAATTGGTGGTATAAATGTAGACCCAAAAAAAAAGATTATGAATAGAATTTGGTTTTCATGCTCAACCCAAACCAACACTGCTTCAATTTTGGAAAAATAGCAAAAAAATTATGGGAATTGGATGAAGAGGGTTGCGATCTGGCAGTGAAGCGCTGTGGGAGCGAGGGCGCGACAGTGGACAGTGGTCAAGAGAGCCAGAGGCCTGGAAGCGAACTTTTAATTAAATGTTGAAGCTAAAAGGTGTTCAAGTAGCATCTTCACAATGCCCATGTCCCCGACTGACAGGTACACACTGGGCCCTATTCAGCTGTCAGTGGACACGCCGTGCTATCTCCCCGTTTCCTGCTCCCTTGCAGAACTGAGCCACTGATCCACTATCTCCTCACCGTTGGCTACTCTTCTGCGGTGCCGCGCCGCTCCAAAAAATTATTTTAGTCCTAATTAGAAACAGAGACAAATATCTGCAATTGCCTCTTGGTCACATGTGAAAACCTACACAGTAGGAAAAAGTTGCCAAAACTTTGTGTCAATATGGGGAGTAAATCGTCATAAAAGTGATAGGATGGAAAGAAAAGACCATGGACAGAGAAGAATGGAGACGCGTCGTCTTGGAGGCCAAAGCCCACCCCGGGCTGTAGCGCCATCAGTAAGTAAGTAAGTGAGTAAGGAAGTATGGAGAGTAGAACACAAGCTTTCGGTTAACATCTTTTGGTTAGTTATTCTTCGATTAAATTGACCACGGTTGAATCGACCAGATCGTCTGGTTGAAAAACTGGAAACCCGCAAAGTTCAGGCACGAATGGCTAAGATCAAACCCGAAACTTGCAGTTGATTATTATCCAGTGCGCTCGCCACTCCCACAGTTGTGGTCTATGTATGAAAATATAGAAAATGTGGTCATCAGAACACTTTTCTTAATCCTGAGATTAAGTTGTCTTGTTGATTTAAGTAAAAAATGCAACAATGTATTTTGTTGATCTACCAGATTATTTCAGTTGATCTGGCCAATAGGAAATTAACCCAAAGTAACCAAAAATATGGAAGCAGTGGCGTAACGTGCTTTGCGATATATCGATTGATCTGCCATTTGAACCTATGGAAAAGGATCGATAAATAGGGTGCTCGCAGCGAACACCCTGATAATCGATTCTTCACCATAGCTTCAAATAGGGAAATATCGAATCGATCTTTCACACCTCGCCACTGTATGAAAACTTTTTGTTTCGGAACTTCAACCCTTGGACAACTCGCAACCGTTGAATAGCCCATTGCTTAACATAAATAAATAAGCGCGTTTTATTTTCTGGGTTCGACAAAGCTAGACTTTTCCTTTGGCTAACGCTATGCATTCAAGAAATTTTTTTTTAATTTTTGTCCAAATCGGCAACATCGTCTTCCCGATGGTGTTAGACCGGTCGCCTCAACGTGTTTGATAACGCCGGCGCCAAGAACAGCCGATGCCACCTAAGCCCCGGCAGAACGAAAGGTCTCCATCTCCGTTCACCCCGCCTTTGTCGTGGGCGACGGCAGGATGTGAAGGAGTTCGCCGGAGCTTTTGCAGGAAAGTCGCAGAGCTTTTCGGTGGCGGTTTGCAAACAGTCGCTTTTGTTAGGATAATGATTATGGGGAGAGAGGCGGTCGGGAGTTGAAAGGTTCGACTCTGTCGCGTGCAACACTTGTAGGGCATCATCATGGTACGTGCTGAAAAAGAGGCGAGA